CCCCCCCCCCCCCATTTATCTGTAATTAGGACCATTTGTAACGGGCACCCCCTCCAGTATTAATCGGTAGGTGCTAAGGAAGCTCTGTGCCAAATTTGACACTTTTGTCACGTCTGTAACGATCCCGCCTATATTTTGCACTAAGAGACCTGACTAAAACACAGTATGTAATTTTCTTTTTTTAATCATTCTAAACAAGCACAAATACGTCACGCGCTACGTCTTCTACATCAGCGTGTGTATGATTTGCGCTTACATCGAGAGCGATGTTGTTGCTTTGTTTTATTTTGCACTCAATTCTCAAGGATCGTTACAAAACGTCAAACTCACAGCTATCCGAACAGCGGCAATTACTCTCACATTGATTGTAAGTTTTAGGACCTCTATGCATATTATCCGGAAACTCATCAAGCCAAGGCGATCACTGTTTGACGGGCTTGGTGAACAGTGAGTGTTACAGTGACACCGTAACCCTCGGAAGAATCAGAAGTTTTCATTTTACTTTTTCCGCATCTGATTGATTATTGGTGACTATCAAGTGATTTGTTTTTGGGTTTTTGCTCTGGGGTTGTGCTTCGCGTAAGTTTCACGTGACAGATGGTCAAAACACACGTGATCAGATTACGAGTGATAGTAGGTCCAAACGCGCGTGATCAACTTGCGTACTGTGCATTCCATTCATTCTTAGTGGAAGTCCAAACGAATGCTGGCTGATGCTGTTAACTGATGCTGGCTACATACATGCGACGCATGCGTAAGTCACCTAGAGATTCGGAATGCGGGGTCCCCTTGTCGCCCGTAATAACATTACAACATCACTGTAAATTACAATCATGATGGTTGAAATAGCGGCTTTACTAGAGGATTGGTTTACTGGGGAGCATGTATACCCTAGCATAATACCGCCTATAAAGTCCGTCTCTGACTAGAAAATTTCGATAAACATAAGTTTCAGGTGTCTACTAATGCAAAGCATTCTTTAAAAAACAATTTCTATTCAACGTATCTGATAA